GTCCTCTTTTTCCTTAGACTTTGGTGATAATTCCAAAGTCCTCAGGACCTTAGGTAACAAACGTGCATAAAGTTCTTGTAGGAAAAGCCTAGTCTGGTTGGTGGGTACTACTTATTCCTCTTCCTCAGACAATTGGCCCTCCTCTTTATCAGATGATGCAGAGGAAGATTCAGAGTCTCCCTGATAAGGATCCAAGAGAGGGCTACCTTCTCTCACTGGAGACTGATCCTGTCTATCTCTTTTGGACCTGGGAGGTGAACAGGGAGCCCTGGGAGAAGTAGCTCGCTTCCTGGTTTTCTTAAGCTGTCTGCCCCTGCTTGGAGAAGATCTAGAGTTAGCAGGCTCTTTGCTCTCCTGCATCAGTTCCCTGAGCTCCTTTCTCATTTCCAGTTTTATCCACTGTAGTAAATTGGCCTTTGCATCTTCCCCTGCTAGTTTCACATTCAGGGGATCTTGCATGGATAAAGACACAGACTGTCTAGGGAATTCAAGTTCACTGTGCTGGGATCCTTGCCTTTGAGGACTAGGAGTTCCAGATCTGTCCTCCATTTTATATATTGGGATACCTGAGGTAAAGTGAAAGAGAAACCTTTAGGGAGTGGGTTCAACAAAATGGCTGGGGAGTTCCCTCTCACCCCCCCCCATGTTCATCTACTGTCCCCTATGACTGACAGTTGCTTACCACGGGATAGTCTTCCTGGTCATGTTGGTCTCTGCGCTGGGGGCTTCGCACACTGGGACTCCTCCGGGTCGTGGAAGTTCCCCTGACACCTTCACCAATTCCCTGCTGTGCTCTCCCTGCTGCGGGGAGGCAGAGGAGGACTCTCCAGCCTGAAGGGGGAGAGTCCTGAAGGAGTCTGTGGATACGGCCGCGGCTACCAGGAGTCTCCCTGTGCCGCCGGCCCACCTTGAATGCTGCTGACTGCAGCTTGATCAAGGCTCCTTCCACAGGACCGAGATTTTTTGCTGCCACCTGCAGCCCGATGTGGTCCCCCGGGGCCTTTCACTGGATCTTCACTCTATGTGAGCTGAGTTCCATCCTACTTCGTTGGCAGGGCCAGTAAGACTGGGGACAGCCCAGGGGACAGGTCCCTCCCCCAGATGGATCAATCAACGAGACTGACCCTGCTTGAGGAGGAGGAGCCTATTCCCATAAGGAAGGACTGTCCCACTAACTGGACCACCAGACAATATTAATAGACTTTGGCAGTTGTGCAGACCTGTTGTTTAAATGGGTCAAAATACCAGGACCTGAATGGTGCAGCTTGTCAAACTATTTTCAATCTGTCACAAAAATCGAAGAGTTGTGCTTTCCAGGGAGATGTGATGAGGCTTTTTGAACTCTCCCCAGCTGTAATTGAGTGGATTGAAAATGTAGACATTAATATTTAGGGGGATTGCCCAGTCAGTCTGCATACCCATTGTATCAACCTGGTTACATATTTTATATTATTGTAAGCTTCCTGTGTGCAGCTCTGCCATACAATGAATAAATGGAATGGTAAAGTACATTTTACTATCTAGTATTCTATCACACCAGGCTATGATGCATCAGAATGAGCTGGCCCAGTTCTAAAATAGCAGAATGAACTTTAGATTGCAGATGTGAGAGTAGCTTACACTTTTGAGTTCTTCCCTTTATTAAAACAGATCTCCCTGAAAGTAAGCAAACGAACTAGTGGTTTAAATATTTTAAAGTTGGACTAGATTCTGTCATATGGATGCAATATTTTTCACTTGCACTGATTTTTTTAAAACATAAGTGGGTCATTCAATGTGAAGCGGTACAGTCACAGTAATTTTTCTTGGGTTCCCTGTGTCTCAGATATGCCAAATCTCTGCATAATTTGAAGTGAATTCTGTCCCATTCACTGTGGTTTAATATTCATGAGTAACAGAAGGAGGTTACAAGGTTCAAAATGTTGTGGCTGGAAAAACCTTAACAAGTAGGAAGTCTTTCCATTATTTAAAAAAGACTTCTGTTGGCTGGTTGTTCCTCTTCTTTTTAACGATAATCCATTTTCAGGAGAGAAAACCAAGCAAAGGGTAGTTTCCTTGTGGGATGACAACCCAAGAAACTGAGAGGCCTTTAGCTGGCCTCCACTCAGTGACATCTGATGCAACGCCACTATTCATAAACTGGTTAATGGTTAAATTATGAACATTTATTAGATTATGTTTCATTTGATTTCCCACATTTTAACTTTTGGGAATTTTTTTTATACAGATTGAGTTAATCACGAACTGTAAAATTTGTGGGAGAATTGGAACATTCCAATAATAAGGAAAAACCTTATAGCAGTTTTACTCTCAGTGGCTAAATCTTTGATTGCATTATATTGGAAGAGTAGTACAACTCCAACGATAACTCAATGGTATGGGAAAATCTGGGACCATATCCTTATGGATAAGATATCTGAAAAAAAAATCACATATCTCAATCTCAGCTTCTTCAATCTAAATTTTGGGAGAAATGGTCACCTTTCTTAGATTATGTAGTGGAAATCGAATCACAAGACATAGAAATCTCAGATCATTACAGACATATAGCATTATTCTAACATTTTTATAAGTCAGTTTTAAGAATGTAGATGTTTATTATTGTAAAAGTGTGTATCTTTAAGTAACATGTCTTGTACTTTGTTATTGTTATAGATATTAAAACTTATTGTATTGTAATTGAAAATTTATAAATAAAAAGTTATAAATAAATAAACTGGTCCATAAAGTGGCTTGGCTTTCTAGGAACGAAAAACAGAAGATATCCCACCCCTCCAATTGTTTACGAAAATCCACACATTGAGTTTTGAGAAAAGAGTCCCACTGTCTTATGAGAAGAAAAGGAAGACATTCATGAATTGGAAAATGAACAACGTATATTTTTGTATGATCCAAAAATAGCAACACCCTCAGATCTTAAAAAAGAGATGAATCCTGCATACAATGTGTGTATTCATTCAGTAAACATCAAAACTTTAAAATTAACAATACATAATATTGAGTTGCCAACTCCAGGCTGGGAAGTTCTTAAGATGTGGAGGGGGAGCTTTCAGAGGGAGAAATTTGGGGAGGAGAGGGAACTCACAGGGATTTGATTCAATAGAGTCCACCCTCCAAAGCTGCCATTTCTTCCAAGGGAACTGTTTTATGTAGTCTGGACTCCAGAGCTCAGTTATAATTCCAGAAGAACCCCAGCCCCCACCTTGAGTTTAGCAACTGCAGAAGGACATACCTGCTGTTTTCCTTCAGAAGTGGAGTCAAAATGAAGAGGAGCAGAAAAGGTTAAGTTAGGGTGTATATTTGTGCTTGCTTTTGAATCTCCTGTTAAACAGGTTTCAAATGAACACTGCATGTCTACTTTATTACATCTTTGTTAAAAACCAGGATATATAAAAACCTTTACCTCACAATATTTCAGATCATCATATTTACAGCTCAATGTTCAATCTATCAGTGAAACATACAGCAATGTGACCACTCAAGAATTTAAGATTAAATTAAAAAGTACATTTTTAAAGCAGAAAAAAATGGTCTATGACCACTAAAACATGATAATGCCACAGCTAGGTAAAACTGAACAATGTCCACCAGGAAGTACCCATAGCTATTTCTGCAGGTAGATTAATATTATTCTGACTGGACACAAAAATACTACATGACATCTGGAAGACTGGCTTTCAGATCATGCAGTTTTCTTTAAATATCAGATCTACAACTTTGTGAAAGAGCATACAAACACATTGGGTGGGTCTCATCATCATCTCAAGGATGAACTGGCTCCCCCCATCCACTGAAAAGGCATAAATGAAAGGCATCATTAATGGTGAAAAGGATCACAAATCCTAATACTTTGTGTGTATGTGTGTGTTTTAAAGTTTTCACTTGGCTAAACAACAAACATAAGATGTGAAGGAAGCTGACTGCATTAGAACGATTACTACACACTTGACAACAATAGCAAGGTACAAAGCAAGCAGAGGGCACCATCTTGGAAAGCAGCCGTTACAAATTACAAAAGTAGCCCATGCACAAAAAATGACAAAATGTGCATCTAATAAATTGCAGGTGCTTGTTTCTAAAATTTGTGCTGGTAAGTCACTCAGATGGTGAGCTATTCTATAGAAGCTGCAATCTTGTGCATTCTCCCATCCCCCTACAAGGAAACACTTGTTGGCAGAGGCTGTAGATGTTTTCCTCAGAAACCTTCTAAACTTCAAAAAAATATATTATGATGTTTGGTCCATTTGTTCCTTCATATTGCTAATGACTAATTGGGACCAGACATTTCATAATTGCTACACACACTGTGGAAACCATTCAACTTTGGGGCATTAAAAAGTTTAAAGCATTACTGTAATGCAACAACTGCCTTTTTTGTGTAGGTGCTGAAGCAATTCTCTTTACAGGAATTATTTATGTGCTGAGAATGGACTGAATTCTGTCAAGGTTGCCTAGTGTCTGTAGCAATAAGCCATTAGTGTCTTGATGCACATAAACATTACTTTCACCTGCTAAAGATAAAAGGAACAGACATGCTTTCCTCTTAGCAATCAAATGTTTATTTTTGCCAGCCCAGAGGAAAGCTTTTGCTCTTTTCTCCTTGCCTGGATGCCAACTGGTATGGAGCCAGTCCTGCAATCGTTTTGTTGTTGCTGGTTTTTTGATATTTTTTTTTGCAAGTGGATCCAGTTAAATAGTAAGTGGCCCTGAAAGATTTTAAGCCATGTTCACTCAGTGTTCATACCATACCCTTCAGAACCAGAACAAAACATGACTTAGAAAATTCAAAGACAGTTTTCCTGGAACAGTTGAAAGACCCCCTCCAAGCTTCCCCATTAATTTGCTCCTTGCCATTTTCTGCAGTGTCTTTGCACAAACAAAACATTACATAAGGAGACACATACAATTATTATTTACATAAATGTTCTTCTGAACAGGTATAGGAATCCTTCACCTTGCTTTTCACAGTGGCAAACAGCAAATGATCTACAATACACTAATCAGCAGTTGTCATGGATACCATGTAAAGCTCAGCAATGTTGTGTATGAATGAGTCCACAGTTATAGAAACTCCACATAGTTCTCCGGAATCAATCCCGTTTTTCCATTCAGAGTTCCTTCCAACCAGCCAGGCTCTTGAGAAGGATGAACTGGAAGGGAAAAATACAAATTATCAATGTATAAATCTGAATTCTAAAACTAGGAGTTTTGTTTTTCCTGTACATTTCCATTTCTTGGTGGTGGTTGTTGGACAATTTAACCAATGGAATTGCCCCTCTTTATGGCTACAGACAGCACTTTCTCCTCCAGTTAAGTCTTTCTCTAAAAGGAGCAGCCTCTAACATACCCAGACAATGCTTCAACATTACAGTTCTTCAAGTTTGCTCCAATCCAATTTAGCACATGTATTGAATTACTGCATCACTATGAATCAAGAAACAGATGAGAAGGCAGGTCAGGGGTTTCAAATCCTATTCCTAAACCTGACAACAGAAAAGGACACTACTGAAGTATGGGGCAGACTGCCCCCAAACTACCTGAAAAACAGAAAATAGCAGGTAAAGCCAAATCCCTTTTGTACAGCAGTCTGCTCACTGGAATATACAAGAAACGTTCCATCATAGGTAACACATATCCTCAAAAATTCAGTCTCCCAGTGCCAGCTTTTATTTATACAACCATGCATTAATTTTATAGTGCCTTATGGGCACACTGAACTGCTATATAAGTGAGCTCAACTTGAGCTCAGCTCCAAAGGTCTGTTTGTTATTCCCAGAAAACCTAATGCGTTGTAAAGATTCTCTGTCCAGAGATTTGTAAGCTAGTGGCATGAGCTCTTTTTGACACCTAGATAATGTTGTACTAATGACTATCTTCATCCTAGAGGAATCCTTAAACGAAACAAAGATTTCTTAAGTGTTACATTGCATCCAAGTAGAAATGCAAAGCTTTCCGCACTGGCTTTCCCTCCATTGTTTTACGAAACCCACGTTGGAACAGAAATTCCCCTCTGCACCGCATGCTGCTGTCACTTCCTTTGATCTTCGGATTTTACTGAACCATCCACACCGCATGCCACTTTGACTTATTTTGATTATCGGGTTTTATGGTACCTTCTGCATAGATTTATGGCCATTTTATGGCCATTCAGGGGTGACTTTGCAGTCAGTACAGCGTTGCCCTGAGCAATGTTCCCTCTAAGCTCGGGAGTCTTGTGAGCAAAAATTCTACTTTGTGAGCTACCGGCATTAAAGTTGTGAGCAAGCGATTTGGCTACTGCATCAATTACTTTGCTCTGGAGCCCTCCTTCCTGAGCTGAGACAAAAATGTAGCCGGAGGCTACAAAACTGTGAGCTAGCTCACACTAACTCAGCTTAGAGGGAACACTGGCCCTGGATGTGGTTTTGAGCTGCACTTTTTCCTCCCAGTTGAGAAAATGTGGAGCAAATGCTAGATGCCGAATTGCCCATTGTTTTCCCCAAGTGGGAGGGATTAGGTCAAAAAGATGGGGAAAACACTGATAACCTATGGAAGCAGTGGTTTGAATCTAGGGGAAGATTTTTGCTGATTCCCTACTCCTGCTGCGATCTCTGACTCCCCAGAAGGCATTTTTGGCAGTGACAGGAGGGCATGACACTCAAGGATCTGGCAGTGGGGGGAGACCTAAGAGTGACTTATAATGCCTTTACATATACACCTCCTAACCCTGGTATGGGACTTCCAAGTCTGTGTATACACAGGTGTAACTTTGAAGCAATACTTGGGGAAATCTGCAGGCTTTCAATTTATCTGAATTTGATCTTTATTGAATACAGTGATAGACAGAAAGGTTAAGGAGAAGAAAACATATTACAGAAATGCAATATGCTGTGATAAAATATCATTCAGGAAATACAATGAAAATACAATCAAATGTAGAAATCTGAAAGTTCAACAAAGAGCAGTTAAAACTATGCCTCATGAAACTGGTCCCTCTTAGGTGGACAAGTCCATCCACAATTGGTCCAAGTGAACCCCACCCATGGATGGTGAATGTGGTGTCCCCAAAAGAAAGCTGAAGATGTAGAGGAAAATGAGTATTACAGGTATGGTTGAGCATGAACTGAATCACAAGCCTAAATTCATCACAAATTGGGCCAGGTCATGGTTTGCAAGCCTCAGTTCATGCCCATCCCTATACGTATCTCCCAGGACTGCCAATGTGGTTTTGGAGATTCATGGGGTTCATGATGGGAAGCGAGAGGGATCTCTGAAATGGCTTAAATCTATTTCATCCTAACATTGCAAGCATTCTCTTTTAAATGTGTTTTGCAAGTGGGTGTCACACAGGAGTGGAGGCCAAGCAGGGAATTTGCCACTTGGCCTTCACTCCAGCATGGCGCCTGACTCAAAACCCATTTAAAGGGAACATACTCTTTAAATGGATTTTGAAAGATCTCCCCCCCACACACACTTTGCTGGCGTGGTTCAGAGGGAGAAAATAAGCAAGCAGTCCAGAGTTGAGGGTGAGCCAAGCTGAGAGTGAATACAGTAGAAAAGGTTCATATGTTGCCTTGTCTAAAGCATAACCACAATGGGGGGGGGGGTTGCAGAGGGACGTTCCTGAAATACTGGTGATGGAGTAACAGTTTTGAGTGTGGAATTGAATCAACTGAACCTTGTAATGCATTGTATTGGGGGAGGAACAATCCTGGGGTGAGATTGAATCTAAAGTACCAGTAATGGAAAAGCAGTCCATGCTTTTCCATGACTGAAAAACTGAACCATGACTGGAAAAAAGAAACGGAACCTAAAATGCTGCCTAAAAGGGAGCCTTTTATATTTAAAATCGGTGCCCTTCTCTGTTAGTCATGGGAACCAGATTTTCAGGTACTAGAATTACTCTGATGGGGATGCCAGACTTCATTTCCTACCTCATTAAGGACGCGATTAGCTTACTGGGCAGGTCTATATGGTAAAGCAGTGTTTCCAAACCTGTGGGTTGGGACCCAGAAGTGGGTCACAAAGCCTTTGAAATTGGGTCACAGGCCAGCCCTTCCTAATGGCTGCCCCTGTCCTTTCCATTGCTCTATTTTGTATTTTGGAAACGAAGATCTGACCCTGGAAACAATATCTTCCATGTCATACAGTAGTTGATATTGTTTCTTCATTGCATTTACATGTTGATCAAGTAAAACGTGTGCTGATGGTTACTAGACTGAGTTCCTTAGAATTTTAGGGGGGATTAGAGGGAGTAATGGAGAAGAAGAGGGTGGTCAAAGGCTGGAATGTAACCTCCATATGCAAAGATTGCATATGTCAGAATAACACTAGCTTGTGCGATGTTTACTGGTTTCTCAATCTCATTAGTCACTGTTGAAAATGGAATGCTGAAATTGATGGATACCAAGGTCATAGTTTGCCTAGGATGCAAAAAAAAAAAAAAACCCTTGGGCCAACTTTGGATGGATCACCATAACAAGTATATTTGGACTTGGGAAAAGTTTGGGAACTGCTTTTGTAAATATGATGGCCCTGTCCACTTCCCTCCCTTTCAGAGGCAAGATTTTCCCTCCATTTTTCTTTCCCTTTCTGACTGAGCAGCCCTCAGCCCAGGAATCTGAGGGAAGGGTCGGGATCACCCTTTAACTTAAACCACTGGAAATGGCACTTGAGACATTTTGAAATTCAAAATTAACAAAATATTTTATTCAACATAGAGGGGAAAGTTCAGGTGAAATCAGGGGTTGAAAGTACTGAGGTAACTCTAGATAACTCTGAGGTAAAACCAGTACATGCACAGAGTAGTTCTTGTATTTCAGGCTAATGAGAGTTTCTTAAGCTATTCACAGTTACTTAAAATCTTTATGTTGAGAGGCTTTTGTACTCATCTTGAGTTTTTAGCTGACTCTTAAGGTCTCTAAAGGCAGTTTCTAACCACACTAGATCTCTGCACTCTTCAGAGCTAACTCCCTGTTTGACTGGGTAGGGAAATTCTCCTCTCACTAGAAGATCTATCCCATTTCTTTGGCTCGAATGAGAATCCTTGCCTACTTCCCAAACTTTCTTGCCAACTTTCCAAAGTATGGAATTCACTGCTATAGGATGTAGTGATGCCCACTGGCACATGCAGCTTTAAAAGGGGATTAGACAAATTCATGGAAGATAGGTCTACCAGTGGCTACTAGCCATGATGACTAAAGGGAACCTCCACATTCAGAATCAGTCAACTTCTGAATCCCAGTGCCAGGAGGCAACATCAGGGGAAGACCTCAGTCTTTATGTCCTGTTATTGGCCCTCCAGAGGAACTGGCTGGCCACTGTGTGAGATAGGATGCTGGACTAGATGGACCACTGGTCTGATCCAGCAGGGCTCTTCTTATGTTCTTATGAATTTGCTCTGTTCTTGCCACCAGATAATTTGGCTCTCCAAATCATAGAGTCATAGACCATGTTAGCTGAAACTTTATTGAAGCCCAGCAAAGTGGAAAGTACAATCTTGGAGTTACTAGAAACTTCCAGTTGCTGTGACTCAAATTTGGAGGCAGATAGATGAAAATATCTGTATATATGAACATCAGGCAAGGCCATTAATTAGACTGTCTTGGAATAGCAGAATAGTGGAAGCCTCTGAGCTAATTGTAGCTTTATAATGCTCAAGACCAGAAATCAGACCCTTCAAGACCAGGGAGGCAGCCCTGACCTGAATAGCCCAGGCAAGCCTGATCTCATCAGATCATGGAAGCTAAGCACGGCCAAACCTGGCAAGTATTTGGATGGCAGAACTCCAAAAAATACCAGGGCCATGAGCAATGCTTCCTCTAAGCTGTGGAGACTAGTGAGCAAAAATTCTGTTTTGTGAGCTACTGGCATTAAAGTTGTGAGCGAATGATTTAGCTCCTGCATAAATTAGTTTGCTCTGGAGTCATCCTTCCTGAGCCAAGAGAAAAATGTGTGAGCTGGAAGCTAAAAAACTTTGAGCTAGCTCACACTAACTCAGCTTAGAGGGAACACTGGCCTTGAGGCAGAGGCAGAGGCAGGCTATCAAGCCACTTCTCTGAACTTAGGAGTCACCAGAGGTCACCAGGCACAGAAACACACTCACAAAAAGACCAGGGAGGCATAACTACTATTATTTACCCAAATGTCTTTGATCTTCAGTAAGGCTGTG